TTTCACGAAAACCGGACAAATTGAAATATCTCGAGCGCTTTCTGACAATTTTTTTTTTTTTACTGATTGAGGGAATAGACCCGGATCTTGACGAAACGCTAAACTTCATGCGAGCCACGATATCGAGCCGAGCATATGTAGACGTGATGACAGCTTGAGACAGGAGAAGTCAAGATCACGTTCTAAACACTGACAACCAGGAGTAATGTCCAATGTACGAAATGGTCGAACGGTCCCGGCACATCTTGATGGGCCTGTATTCCTTTTCATTTAAAATAGCAGATTTCTCACAATTATTTTTCGATGATTTTCGTAACCCTCTCATGGCCGTTTCATGATTTTCTACAATTATTCCACCGAGTGGACATACGGATGCACACATCGATAAAAATCCCATACAATTAAAAAAAATGAAAATTGTGCAATTTTGAAGCCGAAGTCGAAGTCATGACATAGAAGCTCAATGTTTGATAAAATAGAAAGTATATACGCACTTGTTTGTAATGGAACAAGCAACCACATATTCTTGCTTCAGGGAAAAATCTTTTGAAACTGTTGATCTGTGCCCTCTCGAAGTCGCCTGTTATGGTCGTAACGTTGTCTCTAAGAGACGGAATCATCTCGATTACTCTTTCCCAGATGGCGTTGTACATTGCACCGGTTTGAGATGACGCAAAAACGATGATAGCTGGGAATCCCTAATAAAGTATTCGTTATCGAATAATGTAATTTTGGATCGAAAAATCGTTAGAAATAGAAATACTCCGTAAAAAATATGCAATTTTTTTCGCTTAAAAATTTAGTGATTCTGGATGAAAATTACTGAGCTCCCGGATTACAAGAAAGATATATAATTTTTGATTGAATATTTCAAGGAAAAACGTACCGAGTCCAATTTCCTGAAATGGATTGTATACACTTGTTGCAAAGCAGGAATTGGTGATGTTATCTATTTTCCAGGAAAGAAACAAACTGTAAAAATCAGTTATAACAAGGGAAAGAGATAGTTAATATACAAATATTGATAGCATAATTCGATCGAGGCAGAATGAGACGCCAAAACAAGATAATCCTAACTTAATATTGCAGTTCCAATAATTATTAGTTGATTTTCCCTAAACATTCATCCATTTTCCATTTAAAATGTCAAAAAAAAGTAGACTAAAATGATTTCACTTACAGTAGAGCCCCCCACGGCTAAAACCCTCCCTTGGCTCAAGAATTGACTCCACATGCTAAAGTTCCACTCAACTCCTGTATCCCCACTCGACACGACATCCACAGCATTCACTTAACCCCTCAGCGATCGCGCTGTTTCCCCAGCAGTATTTAGTCGCGCCGTGAGAGAATAACTCAAGCTTTAATTTACACGGGAAATTTGACTACTAGAGGCGCTGCTCCAGCCTCTACCGCACGACTCTCGCAGACTACCGTGAGCATTAACACGGGAAATTCTCTGCCGAGCGGAAGAAAGTAGTTTTTACCCATTCAATTCTAACCTATAGATGAATTTTATCGTCACCGGAGTAAACTAGAAGATTTAGTTGAGGCAATGAAAAAGTTTCAATCCAATATCTCAATTTTTTAACTATGTTTCCTATACCCTGAATATTCCTATACCCTATCTTTCCATTCTTACATTTTTCAATCGTCTTTCCTAGATTTTGATATGGTAGTGCCACGTGACAATTCTGATTAAAAATTAAGCGCCCTTGCTTTCCTTGACTTTTTCAAATAATTCAAATGAAGCGTCCGGCTTTCTGCGCTCTAAAGGATGCGCGGTGGTAGTTGAGTGAGAGGTAGGTAGCCCATGCAGCCATCCCACGTATGCGTCTCACAGTCTCAAGTCAGGAGTTGGGGCCAAGGGAGACCCTGACATTGGCTCGGTTCCGAGCACTTTAGCCGTGGAAAGCTCTACTGTATATGAAAATCCAAAGAGAAATTGGAAAAAGGTTCATAGTCAAATAGTATTCCTTTCTGTTGTGCAATTTGTTTCCCACAGAACATTAGACTCCACTAAGTTTTAGCATCGATAAGCTTTCCTCGCCATAATTTTAGTGATAGTATTATCAAACACACATCAATTAAGGAAGAATCAATTATGAATCCTTACTTTAAAAGTGCCATCAGCATATAACTGTTTGCATTGCGATAAGGGTTGTCGCATATCCTCATGCATCAAAATAACAGCTTGAGAGCCATCGTCACCTACCACCGTACCTTGGTACAAATGCCGCAACGGTGGATATTCATGCAGCATGTCACCAAACTCAGCTAAATTATGTGGCGTTGGTGGGACATTTGCTCGTCGAACTGCTAATATTTTCTGTTTGAAGCCACAGTAAAAGGACAACTCATGCGCAATTGGGCGATACCTTCAGAAAGAATAAGTTTTATTGTAATAGAATGCAACTGAAACAAGCCCGTTAGAACTCGAAATATGTGAAAACCACGAGATAATATTATATTGCGTTACTGAGGCCATTACGCACTTTTCTGACGATTTTGGCTTCATAATGAGTGATTTGAAAAACAAAACAATATTGAAATCGATCCATTGATGTTTGAGATGATAAGGAAAAATAAAATTTGCAAATAATTAGTCTTGAAAACTCATAATTTTCTAGCCCAGACTTACTGATAGGATCTGAAAGAACAGTTTTTCATAATAATCTAGATGATTTGCACTTGCAAATAGATAATCGAAAAATAGTCTAAATGAAGTAAGGCTCCGATTCGAGAGAGAACACTGGATACGCGGTAACACCTGACAAACGCTAAGGTGTGCGCGCACATGCACACACGCTAGTGTCCTTTTAGCGCCATTTTTCGACACATTGAGGAAAAAGTGTTTTTCAGTTCATGGCATTCTATCATTCGCCATTGACTCATGCGTATGAACCTCGTACGAATCAAAGATCACTTTTCGGCACCTGTATCGAAATATGCTATTCGCCAACTTACTCTTCTTTAGCTTTCACGCGATCGAATATCTCTTTCGGATCGTCCCAGCCCAATGCAGCTTGCCGAATTTCTTCATTGAACTTTTCCCGCAGAAGAAGATAATGATCCGGGTCATCCGCATGCGTTCCAGCAATGGTAACCGGCTGATTCTCTAGATTTTCGAGAGAATTCACGTATGCAACGGCCGGGCACAAACTGCCATTTCTGTGGGCGCAGCGGAAAATCGTTCCATGACCCCTGTTGTCATGATAATAAACGTACCCCGCGTAGAAATATCTAGAGGTACCTCGCTGCTTTCCAGCCAAGCACTGCATCTTGTGCTGTATCTTGTATCTTCCTACCGATAAGAGGAAGTAGAAACAACAGAAAATTCATTGACGGAATCAACTGATCAATTTTTTAGTTTAATTTATTACTGATTACTGATAGATTTATTCTAATTAATTAAATAAATTATTTTTTTCCCGGCCTCACGGTGGACATACGCCTTCGAAATTAATCAATCAAGGATTGACGCTAAATGATTCCTCCCGGCCCCCACGGGGGAAATACGCCTTTGAACTTTTCAGGTTACCTTCTTGCCCCTACTTGAAGCGGTGAATTCAAGGAATCCCCTAAATCTTACAAGTTAACAAGTCGCCCGAGCCCATTCGGCAGAAGATTTTTGCCAAAATGTTCATCGCGAAGGTGGTTCGCGAACGCGAAGGCATCAATCTGGATATTTTAATAAAAAAAAAAAATGCGTGTGTCTAGCAGCTAGACACTAGCTTACGCACGACGGAAGTAAAACATCTAGTACTTCTCTTTGCACTTTGGAATTTTGGAATTTTTTAATTTTGGAATTTTTGGATTTTGGAATTTTGGAATTTTTGGATTTGATGGATCAAAAAGAATTTGGAAATAATAAAATTCCATTTAAATTATTTCAGGCAATCAAAGCAGCATTTGCTCCATTACCCAATTGGGGTCCAAAATGCAAGGTAAATCGTAAAATGTGGCTGCAGTTCATCAAAGAAAATTGGTCTAGGTTGTTATTCGCTCGCTCACTTTTCAACTGGGTTGAAGTGGGTGTGACCTATTGCGATCGTCTTCAGAATATGATCAGATCTCAGTTACATGGCGATGCTTTCATTGAAAGAAAAAACAAATTGCACCATTTGTTCAGGAAAAACCGTTTGTCAAAATTTGAGTTACATACATTCACACATTTTTATATTTGAGCTTCAAATTCCAAATTTCATTTCTATTTTCCTATTTCCAATTTTAAGTTCCCAATTTCAGGTAAACAATTTCCAGTTTTCAATTCTCAATTACAAACACAAATTTCGAATTTCGAATTCCGAATTTCTAATTCCTATTTCCTAACTTCAAGTTTTCAATTCTCAACTGTATATTTCCATATTCCAATTTTCAATTGGATATTTCCAATTTTCAATTGCATAATTCCATTTTTCAATTTCCAATTGCAATTCCCATTTCCAAATATCGAATTTCAAATCTTCCATTGCATATTTCCAATTCCCAATTTACAAGTCCAAATCTCCAATTTCAGATTTTTAATCTCAAATTCTCAAATTTCCAACCTCAAGTTCCTAATTTTAAGTAATAAATTTTAAGTTTTCAATTGCCAATTCCAAATTTGAATTTCAAATTTTAAATTGCTTATTTTCGATTCCATATTCCAAATTCCCTAATTCAACGTTCAAATTTAAATTTCTTTCCAATTTCCATTTTCAAATTTCCAATTTATTGTAGGCAATGAATAGTGAACAATATTGTTATGTAAGAATTGCGTCATGGATTTAATATTGTCCAAGTTCATTTTTTTCGGAATTTAATTTGGAAATTTAATGGAAAATCCAATTCGCTAGAGAAATCTATTCGTAATTCATAAATTCAAAAAAAAAAAAATGGTAAAAAATATGCAATAAGATCAGCGGAAAAAAAAACTCGTGATTCAAAGCAGAAAAAACAATAAATTAAATTAATTTCATCGTAACAATTAATTACTAAAATAAAAAAGAGAATACAAAATTTCAAAAAAACATATTATCCCTCTGGACTGGAGCTAGTGGGGGAGGAGAGGGTTTCAAGGGCTCAGTGATTGGGCCCTGGGGGTGGTGGGCTTCAAGTTCTTGTGGTGATGATGACTCCAAAGACTTTTCTAAAAGATCCTGAAGCTTTTGAAGGTCTAAAACTTGATCATCGGATTTTTTCAGTTGAAGTTCTTCAAGAACTGGTGATTCTAGATGTTTTTGTAGATATTCCTGAGTGTCTAGATGAGGAGCTGCTGACTTTTCTAGGTGAACTTCTTCAGGAAGTGAAGTCTCTGATGGCTTTCCTGAAAGATCCTGGGGCTTTTGAAGGTCTAGACATTGATCTTCAGGCTTTTGTAGATAGACTTTTTCAGGAACTGAAGTCTCTGAAGGTTTTTCTGAAAGGTCCTGTGGCTGTTGAAGATCTAGTTGATCTCCAGACTTTTTTATTTGAACTTCTTCGGGAAGTGGAGGCTCGAAAGGTTTTTCTAGAAGTTCCTGAGGCTTGTGAGAGTCTAGATGAACTTCAGACTTTGCTATTTGAACTGCTTCAGAAATTGTTGACCCCAAAGATTTTTTCAGAAGTTCCTGGGGCGCTTGGAGGTCTAGAGGTTGATCTTCAGATTTTTTTAATTCAAATTCTTTAGGAAGTGTTGACTCCAAATGTTTTTCTAGATGTTCAGGCTTTTGAGAGTCTAGATGATGATCTTCAGACTTTTGTAGTTGAACTTCTTCAGCCACTGACGACATCAAAGGTTTTTCTAGAAGCCCCTGATGCGCCTGAGAATCTGAGCGATGATCTCCAGAACTTTCTACTTCAACTTCATCAGGAATCGTCGACTCCAAATCCTTTTTCAAAATCTCCTGAGACTTCTGAAGGTCTAAACATTCATCTCCAGACTTTTCCACTTCAACTTCTTTAGGAAGCATTGACGCCAAAGGCTTTTTCAAAAGTTCCTGAGGCTCCTGAAGATTTAGACTTTCATCTCCAGACCTTTTAACTTCTTCAGGAGCTGTCGACGCCAAATCCTTTTTCAAAAGTTCCTGAGGCTCCTGAAGATTTAGACTTTCATCTCCAGGCTTTTCCACTTCAATTTCCTCCGGAAGTGATGCCTCAGAAGTATTTTCTGCTGGACCCTGGGGTTTTCGAGACTCGTGAAGTTCGTTTTCTTGAAACATTTCAGTCTTCCCTGAAGATTCTCCCTCTGGAGGGAAATCCTCAGCTTCCGGGAGCTCCTGTAGATCTTCAGGCTCTTCAGGAGTCAATGACTCCTTCATCATCATCATCATCGTCGTCATCTTGGTTCAACGTCGCTGCAATTTTCTCGATGTCTTGATTATCAATTTCAATGGGAGTCTCAGGTTTTGAAGAGTCAAACATGTCAGGAGAGTCCAGGGGTCTCAATTCATGTTCAGGTTCTGAATTTTCTTCATCTACTTCAATTCGAGATTCAATTTCTTTCTGAAATTGAGCAATAGCTGATTTTCCCGGAAGTTCTGAAGATTCTGGTTCCTCTTCTCGTTTTGACTCTTCAGGAAGAGTTTCTGAAAGTTCTTGACACTCAGGGGCTTCCCCTGCAACTTCAGGAGTCGATTTAAATTCTTCTGAAACTGATTCTGGAGCTGTTGAAGTCGATTGCAGCTCTGGAGCCACCTCTGGCGTTGATTTTTCCTCTTCAGGGGGTTCAGGGCGAACTTCCTCTGTAGGATTTGCCTATGGGTTCTCAGGGATGGATTTCTCCTGGACCTCAGGGACAGATTCGACTTCTGGAAGAGCCTGCGAGGTAATTGAACTAACTTGAAACTCCTGATTGGCAGATACAACGTCGATGAATTGTTTCAGTTGTAAATCAGCTATTCCCTTGGTCCCATCGGTATTGAAACTTATATTTTTCTCTCTCTGGTATCAACATTTGAATAATTTAATAATGATTGAATGAAAAAATTAATAAAACACGTGAAATTATGAATTTATTAATTGTTTATGGAGCAAGGACTTAATAATCAAACAAAAACTAAAATTTGATAATTTTGATAATCTGATAATTTTGCCTCACTAAATCTCAATCGAGTTTTCCAATTGGTAAAAACATGATTTGATCATGTTTTAGGCTCTGAAGTATTATCCAAGTGCAGCTGAAAATGGTTATGCAGGTGCAATGTACAATCTTTTGAATTTTTGAATTTTTGAAATAATAACGAGAAATAATGGATAAATTGAATTTTTTTATTTAAAACATTATGAAATTGACAGAAATTATAACCAATAAAAGCAAGCAAAAAAAATTTAAATTAATCGCAGCGTTGCTGGGCCTTGAAAATTTCCCCCAGACGCTTATTTAGGAAATGTATCCTTATGGTTGTTGCCAGCAGAATATCTTTCCACTCCAGTATCGGCAAGATTGGGTGTTCTGCCGTGGCGAAAAACTGCATGGCTCGCACAAGGCGTTTGGCCAGCTTTTCTAATTCTGAAAAGTATTTAAAAATAGTTTGATCAGTCGCTGAATCATAGAATAATTCACGCTGATATTTAAAAAGTTTAATTTGACTTACCCTTGACAATTTCATCTCTTTCCTTGTTGCCGTCCATTTCTGCTCCAATTTTCGTGTGAATGACAGTTTCGGTTTTTTTTTCGTTTTTGATCAACCGTCTCTACAAAATAACCGAAACTGTCATAGTAACGAACAATTGAATGTTTTCGAACCAGGCAAAATGGATTTCAAGAAGGAAACAGAGGAAGTTTTCAAGGGTGAATCAAATGAAATTTTTTAAATACTAGGATCATGCCCTTTATCTATTTAACTTCCTTTGCACTTCATTTTGGGGCACAAATTTGGATGACTTTTGTCTCTGGTAAATATTCATCAAATCATTCATTAATTTATGAACATTGCAAAGAATTTTTTTTTTAATTTTTCTCATAAGGATTTTTAATAAGTTTAAACAAAAATTCAAGGGAATTTTGTTATTTACTTTTCAAAGAATGTTTTTAAATTCTCAAATTCAAATGTTAACTTTATGAATTTATTTTCGAAATACAATTGATTTGAATCGAAATAAATTGAAAATTGAAAAAAAGTTTGAAAAAAAGTTTCTGAGATTCAGATTTTTTTTTTTCAATTTTGGTGTTGAAAAAAATAATGAAATTGAAATTTGGGTATTTTTTTTAATCCGTCCAGTTATGACTTTCGAGTTTTTCTCATTTTTACGATAGTTGAACGTCCATCGAAGCTTCCTGACTCGTCACAGAGCAAGAGTATTGGAGAAAATTTTATATTGTTGAGGTATTTTTAATATCTGTTGACTTTTATTTTTTTTTAATTGAAAAAAAGCATGAAATAATGTTGTCGCATGAAAATTAATTTCTATTCATTGCAGGATAATCAATGATCTTGCATCATTTCATTTCAAGTGAGTCTATCAGTATTATCTACTGGATAAAAACGCTTATCTGCTTTTTAGACTCTCGTACCTTGACGAAATGACGCTGGTAATTGTTTAATAAGGTCTTACGGTTTTTTTTTTACAATTTTTAGGTCCTAGAAATTTTTTTTTCATACTTGCTCTGCATCAGAGTGGACGATTATTGATGATTATTTATAGTATTAAAGGAGAGAGACTGATTCGAATAGTCTTCTCTCTCAGTTTCGATGGAACTTAGAGATAGTATCAATTAGTCTTCGATTATTAAATAATAATTATGATTTTTAAACTACTGTATGTTATTTATAATTCGCATTTGTCATTGGTTTATTGTATATAGAATCATCTGTCATTTTTTGTTTATTAGGAAAATTAGGAAAAAAGGAAATTTTTAATGAGAATATTTATATTTTCAACTGAGAAGTTTTTTTTAAATTCATTTTTGTTTTTTTGTTCAAGAACTTTTTTGTAGAAAATTAAATTGTCAAAACAAAAACCAAAAAAAAATGATAAATCGATTTCTGATAAATTGTCACAAAATATTTTTGTAAAAAATTGAATTCTCAAAAGAAAATGTTTCTCAAAAAAATATTGTATAGTGATTATTGTAAATTAGATGAGTTTTGATGTAATTAATTCTATGAAGTACGTTCATTCCACAATTAATTAATTAATTTTTCTTATTTGTAAATATGAGTTTTGGTATTGGAGAAAGTTTTCATCACGTTATTCACACCGAAAGCTTAGACCTCTCTCGTTTGATTAGAGAAGTATCAGATACGTTTTGATGGAAGATAAATGATTCTAAAATAAATGAGGGATAAGGTTCACTTACGTTCGCAATAACATTCACTGATGACACATTTTTTTTTCACTGCTCTCGGTTTTTTTTGTATAAATGTTACACGTATAAACCTATCAGTCTATAGTTTATGATAGAAAAGGTATCTTACAGGATCCAACGGTATGAATGGTGGAAATCATCAATTGAGATCTGCAATAATAAAAAAAAAACTGATCAAGAATTTTTTTTTTACATTTTGTTCATTTCTTCATTTTTTAAACTAAATCTTTTAAAATTTGCTTAATTTTAAATAAGAGTTCTGTCATTTTGTTATGAAAAATTTAACTTCAAATTAAAAATATTTTTAATTACCTCACAGAGTAGTAAAAGGTATTTTAATATCGTAATTGTTAATTTTTCGAGGTAAATTGAAGTGATGGATTTTTAATTTAATAAATAAACATTTAAAAAAATAATTACCTATGATTATTTAATCTAGCAACTGGAGTGCATGGCACCCTGACATCAAGAATAATGACTTCACAAGCATCCATAGCAACAGTTGCAAGATAATTAGGATCTTGTTTATTCCAAGCGAGTCTCAACAGTGGTGTGTGCTGAGGATCTTCATAAATAATAGTGGAATGCTCCAAATGACGAAGATCAAACATTCTGACAGATCCATCAGCACCAACAGATGCAAACATATCTCGTCCACCTCCAGCTCGACTGAACGCAATATCATAAACTTCTTTATCGTGAGCAATTAACTGGGTCTTAACGTGCCCAGTCACCATGTTCACACGTCCCAATACTTGACCAGTCTCCAATCCCCAGATTGTGCAGGTTGTGTCGATGCTAGAAGTGCCAATTAAATTTGGATCCACTTCGTTCCAATCGAAGGAAGTCAGAGGAGCGCAAAAATCAGAATTTTTGTTGTTATTTAAAACGCATTCTAAACGAGTTTCGGGTTCTGCTGCTCGCCACACTCGGAGGTAGTCACCGGATGTTGCGAGGAGGTTTTGCTCTTAGCACTGAACTCCGATGTTTCTTCATCAAGAGAAACAATCTGAACTTTATTGTTGTATTCTTCCACAAAACTTCCAAGAGCGAGCCTGAATCTCTTATCAGGTCTCACAGACCAATTCATACTGTAAAGAGGCCATAGAGCCTCATATTTATAAATTTCCTTGCGGTTTGGTGGAACACTGTGCAGAGCCATGATTCTCACGCTCACAAGGTCTCGTTTGTTTGTTTACAGGTGTTAAATGTCAAACCAGTGAGTAATTTCACGAATTATTTCTCCAATTCGTTATTTTACAATTCTATGCTCTATTTATCACTATTTTCATTGATCACTTGCTGATATTCATTGGTTTATTGCACGAAACGATTGACGAGTGAATTTCAATCGAAGCTAACCTTCAAACTTCGATTGTTGTTTTTACAACTCTGGTATATTTTCCGAGGAGTTTCAATGAACGCGCCCCTCCGTGACTTCAACGGATTTGACTATTGTTGGAGAAATTTGAATTCTGATGTTGCAATGGAGAATAATTGAATAATATTGAATAATAATAATTGAATCCCTATTTTCTAATATATTAAAGGAGAACTAGGGAAATCGCATTCATTGAATTCACATGTATTGTAACTTCTCATGTAAATGTAGCCACGGATGCCCCCGCCATGATTAATATCGAAATGAAAATAATCGATTATGCTCATGAGGTTCGCCATGTTCGATTAGTGACCCATGTCTTTTTTAATATAGGATCAGCGTGAATTGTTTTATGATTCAGCGACTGATGAAATTATTTTGAAATACTTTTCAGAATTAATAATAATAATATAGATTTTGCTCACCAATTTTTTTTAATAAATAAACATTTACCTCCTCCAGAGTAATAGGGCCATAAGTTCTCTCCTCATTCCTCTGTCCAAACTATCCATCACTACCAACACAATTGGTAACAGGTAGCACATGTTTTGGTTGTAAACTGAGTGCATGTTTCACCAGATACATATTATTTATTCTAAGTAATTATTTGGTAATTGGCTTCAGTTGTAGACCAGTTGTCACAATGTCAAACCCCCCCCCCCTCAATGTATGCACAGACAGGTTGATTTTTCGAAATTTATTCCAAGTGATAGGATTGGACCAAAGTGTCGTACAAAATTCTCTAATCGAATCCGAGAATCGATTTAAGATTTATACGATATAAATTTCGAATATCCGAGGTTAAGTGCTGTTTGTTTACGTGTGTTATTTGTTATCAAGATCAAGACACAACGAACGAGTGATAAATAACCGAATTTCTACGATTTTTACGGCCTTAAGAGTCGGCAAGTGTCATTATGTAGTAATTTTTTTAACAATTTTTTTAACAATTCATCGACGTTGTATCTGCCAATCAGGAGTTTCAGGTTAGTTCAATTACCTCGAATTAAAAAAACTAAATAAAAAAACTAAATAAAACTAATTTTAAAAAATTAAAAAACCCCAGGATCCCGCAGAAAATACTTCTGAGGCATCACTTCCTGAGGAAATTGAAGTGGAAAAGCCTGGAGATGAAAGTTTAAATCTTCAGGAGCCTCAGGAACTTTTGAAAAAGCCTTTGGAGTCAATGCTTCCTGAAGAAGTTGGAGTGGAAAAGTCTGGAGATGAATGTTTAGACCTTCAGAAGTCTCAGGAGATTTTGAAAAAGGATTTGGAGTCGACGGTTCCTGATGAAGTTGAAGTAGAAAGTTCTGGAGATCATCGCTCAGATTCTCAGGCGCAACAGGGGCTTCTAGAAAAACCTTTGATGTCGTCAATGGCTGAAGAAGTTCAACTAGAAAAGTCTGAAGATCATCATCTAGACTCTCAAAAGCCTAAACATCTAGAAAAACATTTGGAGTCAACACTTCCTAAAGAATTTGAATTAAAAAAATCCGAAGATCAACCTCTAGATCTCCAAGCGCCCCAGGAACTTCTGAAAAAATCTTTGGGGTCAACAATTTCTGAAGCAGTTCAAATAGCAAAGTCTGAAGTTCATCTAGACTCTCACAAGCCTCAGGAACTTCTACAAAAACCTTTCGAGCCTCCACTTCCCGAAGAAGTTCAAATAAAAAAGTCTGGAGATCAACTAGACCTCCAAAAGCCCCAGGATCTTTCAGGAAAACCATCAGAGACTTTACTTCCTGAAGAAGTTCACCTAAAAAAGTCAGCAGCTCCTCATCTAGACACTCAGGAATATCTACAAAAATCTCTGGAATCACCAGTTCTTGAAGAACTTCAACTGAAAAAATCCGATGATCAAGTTTTAGACCTTCAAAAGCCTCAGGATCTTTTAGAAAAGTCTTTGGAGTCATCATCACAAGAACTTGAAGGCCACCACCCCCACGGCCCAATCACTGAGCCCTTGAAACCCTCTCATCCCCACTAGCTCCAGTCCAGAGGGATAATAAACTCATGTTTTTTTTGAAATTTTGTATTCTGTTTTTTATTTTAGTAATTAATTGTTACGATGAAATTAATTTAATTTATTGTTTTTTCTGCTTTGAATCACGAGTTTTTTTTTCCGCTGATTTTATTGCATATTTTTTACCATTTTTTTTTTAATTTATGAATTACGAATAGATTTCACTAGCGAATTGGATTTTCCATTAAATTTCCAAATTAAATTCCGAAAAAAATGAAAATTCACGTCAAGAACTTGGACAATATTAAATCCATGACGCAATTCTTACATAAAACTAATTTTAAAAAATTAAAAATGTGTAATTACACAGACTTACCCTTTTGGCTGACGTGTAGCAACCGATGTATAGTGGGGCTGGCAGCAGGGATGCAGTGGTCCTTGTGAGTTAGTAAATCTAGAATTTTTAAAACACGAACAAGAATAAATAAATTGAATTGACTAAAGTTATAGAATATGAAAAGAAACATAATAAATTTACTTACCTTTTTCTCTAAACCTGTTTTCCTGTTTTTTCACTAAACCTCGATTTTTTTATGGATATGTCAATTGACGTTAGAGTATCAATGTTAGGAAAACAAAATAATAAAGAGAACAAAACACATGGGATTCGATGTTTGCCGACATTCGATTATTCATGTGCACGATATTTTGTACACAACTCAATTACAAATCTCTTTGTAAAAACATACACATAATCTTTGTGTACGTATCCCGCATATCTGTGTAAATCTAAAATAAATATTTCATGTGCAGGACGAAAATGTGTACAATTTTCGCCATTGCGTGTAGAATATTTTCCCCGAATATGTTTCCTATTTTAAACTTTAATGCATAATGAAATTTTTTTTCTACTCAATTTACAATATGTGCAGAAATGTATGACACTTGTGTACAATTTAAAGGGTCATAATTTCGTCAATGAATTTTATGTGCAGATCAAAAAATGTGATGTGCACATCTAATTCGATTTTGACGTATGTGCACAAAGCTAAAAGTGTACAATGCTTATGTGCATGAATCATACCCTGCCGACAAACGTAAGAATTTCAAAGAAAATTTTTTTTCGGAGCATTCTTTCTCTCTTACATGATGGCGTACTCTTTTGCCATCATATATGAACGAAGAATAATAGTTGACAGACTGATTTCTTCGAAAAAAAACCGATGGATCTCCCCTAAAAACTGAAAAACCCAAAAATTTCGAAAAAAAACAATTTTTTCCGTTGCATTGCTTCGCTCTTCCATTATGGCGTATTTTTTTCATATCATATGAGGACATCCTCTATCATAAAAAAAATATTTCAATCGAATATCGAGTGGCCCTAGAGTGAAAAAAAAAAGAAAACGCGAAAAATTCTCAGAAAACCGGTCTAGGATCTTCTTGACGGGTCTGAAGAATTTTTTGTCTTGAAATACGAGAAAAATCGAAAATTTTGTTTTTTTATTTATCAAAATCGGATGCTTCATTCAGAAGTAATGTTTTTTTCCAAATTTCAAGTTTCGTAATGATTATCTCAGAAACAAAAAGTGGCAGGGCAATGAAATTTTGCATGATCACTGGCTATATGTAGTAGTTCAAAATGCACCTCTCAATGATTTTTCCCAGACAAAAAAACAATCCGGTGTGGCTGAGTTGACATGGAATGTCCCAGATATATCTGAGTATATATTTATGTTTTTTTTTCTTTTGTATCATTGCGACGACGAGTGTCGTTTTATTATCGACTGAGCATGCTGGGAGTTTCTCCGGAATAAATACCTGATTAACTGATATAAAATACAATTCTTGGGAGGGTTGATTCGGGATGCACTAGTAACAGGTAGAGGCTAGGGTTCATTATTAGGCCATCAGAGCACCTAGAGGATCTGGCTCACGAATCGCAACCACTGAGAGATTGGAATCTACCTTTAGAGAAGAACTTAGAGAAGAACTTGACACTTGGAGAACTTCCCAGACTCCGGAGAGGTTTTGAAAACACCTGGACCTTAAAACACCACCAAAACAAACCACCATAATCGCAAGCATTCGACCCACGTGAGAATAGTAACCCTTATCATCACCTCGGGGCAGTACTTTATGGATAGCCATGAACTTGAACTTGCGATATCCAGTGGAAGGGGAATGACCCCGGAAATACGTCATCCGCCAGATATGAAATGACTCTGAAGATGACGAACTGAGGGCACGACCATCCGAACCCTCCGGGGCTGGTGCTGCCAATAAATGATTTTTTAAACTATGGGACATTCCATGTCAACTCAGCCACACCGGATTTTTTTTTGTCTGGGAAAAATCATTGAGCAGGTGCATTTTGAACTTCTACATATAGACAGTGATCGTGCAAAATTTCATTGCCTTGCCACTTTTTGTTTCTGAGATAATCATTATGAAACTTGAAATTTTGAAAAAATCATTACTTCTGAATGGAGCATCCCATTTTGATAAATAAAAAAAGAAAATTTTCGTTTTTTCCGTACTTCAAGATAAAAAATACTTCAGAGCCGTCAAGAAGCTCCTAAACCGGTTTTTCGAGAATTTTTCGCGTTTTCATTTNCAGGTGCATTTTGAACTTCTACATATAGACAGTGATCGTGCAAAATTTCATTGCCTTGCCACTTTTTGTTTCTGAGATAATCATTATGAAACTTGAAATTTTGAAAAAATCATTACTTCTGAATGGAGCATCCCATTTTGATAAATAAAAAAAGAAAATTTTCGTTTTTTCCGTACTTCAAGATAAAAAATACTTCAGAGCCGTCAAGAAGCTCCTAAACCGGTTTTTCGAGAATTTTTCGCGTTTTCATTTTTTTTCACCCTAGGGCCGCTCGATATTCGATCGAAATATTTTTTTTAGGATATAGGATATCATGATATGATATTGCTATATACAAAATCTCTAAAATTTAAGATCTCTTCTATTAAATTTTATTTAATGTTCGCTAGACGTATCGAGTTGCCGCCTCTCTCGGACGTCCGCGCGCTGACCTCGAGCGTCAGCAACTTTCGGCGCGCGTGACGACTCCGAGCGTCAGCGGAGACTCCAAGGGCACGGTGACTAATCTATACTCGCCATATCATATTTAATTCACATTTACCTTACGAATAGTCTCGCGCGCATGAAATTAAAATGTCAGCATTTCCATACGTGAAGTATCACGCAGAATTTTATTTCTATCCCCGTTTCGCACGTGAGCGCAAAATTTGACGATGAAGCGCCCATCCCCAATGGGTGCATCGAAATGAAGAGCGCTCGAGACAATAGTCAGTCACGATTTTACCATCAAGGGAATAACATAAAATTTGGCTCCTGCACAATTATTCCTCCGCACCCAACAACGCCGTGTACGTTTCCCTTAGTCTTGGGCTTTAACTGTGCGGTAAACCGACTTGAGTGCGCGTCCGAAATAACTGCCGTAATAATTTCGATTCGCGACAATTACGCTCAACTTCATAGTCGCGCAAGTTAGAGCATATCATACACGCGTGTGTCACTGGTTGGACTCATTTTGCAAATCCTACCATTAGTTATTAGATTAAAATCAAGTTAACTGAAATCGAAGCTAACCTTTTATAATACGTGAACCAATTCTTAGTGGAATTTAGTGAACTTTATCAACTTATTTGACTTAATATCTCCGAAATANTCCTACCATTAGTTATTAGATTAAAATCAAGTTAACTGAAATCGAAGCTAACCTTTTATAATACGTGAACCAATTCTTAGTGGAATTTAGTGAACTTTATCAATTTATTTGACTTAATATCTCCGAAATAACGAAATTAATCAAAATTGAGTGACTATCCAACTAATTAGGATTCGCCGCCTCCCGTCTATCCGAAGATCACCAAAGGACGTTTTCGCAGACTATACCAGTTTTGTAAAGTACTAAGATAAGGGTGAGCCTAATTATTTCCACATTAGATTTTCCGGGATAAATCTTCGGCCTCTCTCAATTTCATTGTTCGAATCGAGTCAATCAATTTTATATGCGCTAATCGTCCAGTATCAAATTCCCGAATATTGCGAATTGTGTCAATTAGTTGAATAAATTACTAGTTTAATTTGTTTTGATTTAAAGTATAATGTTCCGAGATCTTATATTTCTCAATTTAACAAAAGTGCTTTATTCATGGGGCCATTAAAGTTTTAACGGGAACTCACATCGGTTTATAAATTATTTCATTTGCCCCTCAATAATCTCCTTCGTACGTCTAACTATTTACATATCCAACGACACGATTCAGTGAGAAGTGCGCAGCACTGAAGGTAAGGGTCCATACGGATTAGACTTTCAAGCAAAGACCATTTAAGTCTTGCGAGAATAGTCCAAAATTTTATTTGTTGTGAAAATTACCGGACCTCCGTCCGATTTATAACAATATGAAAAAAATACGCCATAATGGAAGAGCAAAGCAATGCGTCGGAAAAAAATTTTTTTTTTCGAAACTTTTGGGTTTTTCAGTTTTTAGGGGAGATCCATCGGTTTTTTTTAAAGAAGTCTGTCAACCATTATTCTTCGTTCATATATGATGACATAAGACTACACCATCATGTAACGGAGGAAGAGTGCGCCGAAAAAAAAATTTTCGTCGAAATTTTTACTGGAAGGGTAGATAGTTGAATTGAACATTATCATCATCGGAAGTTTGCTAAATTATGATCAAACAAATGAGAGGAAGAAACAAACGGAATCAATTAATTGATTTATCATCATCAGTCGATTCCAAGGCTTTAATTCTAGAAAAAAACCTCAATTTCTCGATTGATTTTTTATCACCATACGATTCTGTGTGGATGGATTACCGAGCTCCTATCTTATTCTATTCTTGCAACGAGGTAAGGAATTTTCACGTTGATTATATAGAAATGATCTTTATTTTCGGAATTGATACCTTCGGATTTCATAGAATGCCGCGGAGTGATAGATGTGCGAATCCAATGCGGGCTCCTGGTGAGAACGGAT